ACCCTAACATGCAAGACTGCTGTCACACATACACCTACCATTATATATATACATCCATAATACAGAAAATTTTTATTAACAAGCACCATGATTCAAGATATGCATGTACACATGTATGTATAGACACACATACATATGTATATACAGACACACAGAGAACCTTACAATTCAAATAAAGTTCACTGTGAATACATGGATATCAACATCTTGGAGCTTCCAAGAATAACATTTACCATTTATTTGCATGTTTTAGGAAAACTAAATGCCATTCATTGGCAACATCCAACTGTTTTTTCACATAAAAATTAAGCCACTCACTACTGGGAGTGGAACTAGTTGGAGAGAGGGGGGTTTTTGTTGCTTGGTTGCATTTTGGATGTTTTTTTTTTTAAAAAAAACGAAACAAAACATTAAGCTGGTCTTCTGGGCCTTTGAGTTTTAAACATGAAAGAAATTACTTTGCTTCTCTCCTATCCTACAGACAAAATCCTCCATACATATCCTAGCAATTCTGGAGCAATCTGTGCTCTCTAGTATGGTGTGTTGCTCTCCCCCTAACACAACTGCTCCTGAGCTATAAGCATTCACTCTAAGCTCTACAGAAGATTCAGTATGAACTGAAGATATTTAGACTTCAGAGCTTAAAAACTGAACAGACTCTATACAGAAAAACACTTTCTTTGGTCTTAAGGTACTTAGAAAAACTATGAAAATCACCTTGACAAAATACCAGCAATATTGCTTATAGATGTTAAGGTGTAATGACCTAAAGACTAACTACTTTTTCTACAGTTCTAATAACACACTTTCCTACTCTCCCTTACAAGCAGAAGAGGGAAAGAAATCCCTTACGTGTTTTTCTGGCTGATGCTGATGAACTTGTCAACCCACAGTGGGATGGAGTGAGATCCAAAACTCTGCTCTTTGTAGTTGAAAATGGAAGTCTTTAGCCAACTGGAAGTGATTTCTGATGGAAACTTTATGAATTTTCTTTTCCAACAGATTAATGGAAGAAAAAGTTTAATATGGTGTTCCATGCCGGTGTCTACTGGCAACTGATATTCAGTGATAACTGATACATTCCCAATTCAGGAGTAAAAGCTTTTCTCCACCATGCAGATGGCATGACACATTTGGTATTGATAAAGCAGAGGAATATGGCTTGAATTCTAAATCATCTCAGTAGACAAGCTCATGATATTTTTTAGATATCATGTTTTGTAAGACAAACTGGAGTTCACATTCCCTCATATTCCCTGGCATGTTTGAACCCTTAGAAAATAGCTGGTTCATGTTTCAAAGGGCCTGATTTTCTCATCACAGGACTAGAACTTTCTCCTTTGTATTTTATTTTTCTCATTTAAAATTCTAATAATCTACATCATCCAAACGCTGAGGAATTATTGTAGAGGGCACCATATCAAATACCTTTGTGAGAACTTCCCAAGCCACTGTAATTTAGCACAAGGTCAGCAAGGGCTGCACACACAGCAGCCACCCCACCTAATGGTCCCTTCAGGGTCCTCATCAGCACCTAGGAGCAGATTTCCAAATGCACATACACAAGTAGCAAGCAGGCAAGGCTCTGTGCTCCCCAAAGCATCAATTTCTCTGACACCAAGCTATGAAATAAGACAGTTCAAAACCACCATGAGGAACCTGTATCCCCTTCAGTGAGTAGTACATCATGGTGCAGCTAATGTCAACACATGATCCAGTGCCCTGACATGGAGCATCACTGTAGACAATGATCTGCAGGAAAAACAGCTTAAAAATCACACACCTTATTATTCCTGTTCTGGCTAACCATGTGGCTGTGCACAGCAGGGAAAGGACTAATGCCACAGCTCAGGGCTTTTGCTGGCAGGCGCTGCCAGTCACAGATATGACAAAGGGAGCAGCAGGATACAACTTCAGGGTATAGGGAAAAGCACATTGAAGCAACAGTCTGCACTTCAGTCTGTAGTTTCTATGTGTTGCTCCCAAATACAGCCAACAGTGTTTGCAGAAATTTAGCCGGTCCTTAAAAAAAAAAAAGTCAACAACAAAATCCCCAATTAAGGTATTTTTTGCATAACCCACACCTGCGGGAGACTTAGAGAGATAGGAGCTTTTCAGCAGATACCAGCATGTTAGAGGAAAGACCACAATTAAAAATGAAATTATGACAATATTTTTGTCCATTTGTGTTCTGGCCTGGACCACGTGGTGAGAAGGGCCAGCTGTGTCAGTCAGAAGGACCACAGCCACACCCCAGCAGGAGCACATCCCACATTTCCAAGTGTATGTTCCACAGGTGGAAATCCCAAACCCACATAATCCTTCACAGTCCTCTGCAGGGCTGTGACAGGAGCCCTCAGACAGGAGGCACCTTAGCGCCTGTGAGGAGGGCTGGCATCTTCCTGCTCCCCCTCCAAACCCCAGCAGCCATTGGTTAAGAGCTGGAACTCACAGCCAAACCGCTCCCTTGTCAGCAGGACCATCTGGCTGAGAGGGGAACAGAGGATTTCACGCACTGAATCACAGCAGAATTTATAGCAGAGCATCCAAACAAGTACAGAAACTAACACATGATTACAGCTCTGAGCAAAAGAAAAATATTTGTTAGAGTTGAAGGAAGTTTTGCTTAGTTTTGCCTTGGATTAAAAAGACAGATACAGACACGGCAGGACTGAGAATTTTTTTTTTTTTCTTTTGACCAGCATATAGCCCGTACATGACCCTCCACTTCCAAATAAGTGTTTTGGGAAGAAAAAATAAATATGTCACTGATTGAGCCATATTTGGAAACACCTGATCATCCAGAGGTTCAGAGAGAAACAGTTCTGGAAGCTGCCAGCCTGCTGTTTTGTTCCACATCCCACCGTCTAAGGCCACACCTGAGCTGCTCTGCAATTTCTGTAGGCAGGGAAGATGCTGCTCCCACTCAGCAGAGCTCATTTCTGCTGGCCAGGGGTATGTGTATAAGGGGGTATCTCTGCCACCTCCTGCAAAGCAGATATTATAAACCATGTCCACACACACAAAAGTTAAAAAAGAAAAAATCTTACAGCAATAATTTACCTAAGTATTTAAAAGAAAATAATTTTAAAATACTACAAGCAATGCTCATGGAGACTGATGGAATACTACGTAGAAATCAATTAACTTGTTCATTACACTACACAAAATAAACACAGAACTCGCACATACAAAACAAAACCACAGAGCTTGGAAAGAGAGCTGAAAACTCAAGCTTTAAGTCAAAACATTTTTTTTATTAAGGTAGGAATGCATTTATGCTGAAGAATAGTTTACATAACCTGTAAAGTAACAAGCATATTTTGAAGAGGTGTGGGCCCTCCTCGATACATCTCCATGCTCAGTCTACATGTTTTAACACTGGACTCACACCTACACTCTCACACACAAACATACAGACCCACAAAACACAGACACAGAGCTATCTGCTTCCATTAGCTTTCTTTTAAGGCTTCTGTAAGGTGCCCTAGTGCCCCTAACATGATACAACTTTGTAATTACGTTAGAGGAGTAGCATTACTTGCAAACTACTGATCTGCTCCTGGACTTAAAAAACATCAAGTGAAACAATTTGTTCCTTTTATTTGGGTTTTATTAAACATCTGCATTTAAGAAAGGCATGACGCTGTATATCTGCGAGCAAGGAAAGATAGGGGAATTTTAACATGAGCTTCTCAACCAGAACAGATGTTCAAACATGACTCCTAAGGGACCACTTCCTTTGATCTTTAGAGTCACGCAGCCCCAGCTGCACGACGAGGCACTACCAGCTCCATCCCACCAGGGCCACTTGACCAGCAATGCGGAGACTGGCAACACAAAGCAGAGGTTACCATGCTCGTATCACTTCAGACCTGAGGTTGATGAGAAGTTACAGTTCTAACACCCACAGACCCAACTGTCCCTCAACTCTTACCAGTGGGTCTTACCAGCACATCAAGGCTGGAAAATGCTGGCTTGCTGTACCTCTAGCAATCTTGGAGTATTTTTGCCTTTTTGGTATCCTGCCATATATAGTCTGAAACTGCAACTACTGGTGTTGGGTGAAAGACATGGCAGCAGGTATATTAAGAAAATAGGTAAAATGAATAAAATAAAGAATAGCATATGATATAATGTGTACATAAAAGCATCTTCTTTCATTTTTTTATCTGTGAAAAGTGAATTAACTGCAGAATGCCAGGCCATTAGTCTAAAAGGCTAGGTATGGCTGTCTTAGCCTACGTACGGTCAAAGGACTTTTGTGATGCATCATAGAGAAAGATTCTTCAGGAACCATTAGGGCTTTCCAGGTCTACTTGCTCTTGTGCATCAGCATCAGCCCCCAGCTAGGAATGCCAGAGAAGCAACTAATAAAATTGTCTGACCAGTCTCTTAAAACAAATAGAAATTATTCTACTTCATGGTATGCACCTGAACTACGGAGATGAGAAAGGGACAGTGATGGGTGGGTGAAAGAGATGGGGGAGGGAGCTTTTTTCTCAATTTTACAACAGCAGCAGGTTTCAATCTAACGTAATCACTCTAATGATGCATATCTGTAGGTACTGAATTGCTGTTTTGATTGAAAAAGCTGGTCAGACAAGTGTTTGGCAGTCCTTTCATTCCCCAATTTCAATTGCTGCTTATTCATCTATCAGCTCTCATTCCCTAGGCCATTTCTGCATTTGCTGAACCATGGATAAGTTCAGTCAGCCATCATCAGACTCAAATTCATGAGACACTTCCTCTGACGAGCTGTTCCTGTGGATCCGGCCATCACTTTTCATGCTGTGAAAAGTCTTCTTAAAGGCCTCCATCATGGCATGGGCCAGCTTCTTGGCCTCCAGCTTGCTCTCACACTCTACAGCATGGCAGTCCATCTGGTAGGACAAGTCATCGTTGATCTCCCGATAGACCCAAGCAAAGATGTTTGGGCTGACATTGTGGTCAGCAGTGCAGTAGGCTATACGTGCTACCTGAACCGTGGATAAGTTCAGTCAGCCATCATCAGACTCAAATTCATGAGACACTTCCTCTGACGAGCTGTTCCTGTGGATCCGGCCATCACTTTTCATGCTGTGAAAAGTCTTCTTAAAGGCCTCCATCATGGCATGGGCCAGCTTCTTGGCCTCCAGCTTGCTCTCACACTCTACAGCATGGCAGTCCATCTGGTAGGACAAGTCATCGTTGATCTCCCGATAGACCCAAGCAAAGATGTTTGGGCTGACATTGTGGTCAGCAGTGCAGTAGGCTATACGTGCTACCTGAAAGGTATCCATGTGGACTGTTGCCTCGCCTTTGAGGTCCAGATGATGCAGCCAGACTTGGAAAGGGCGAATTTCCAGAAGGGCATTAGCTGGGTAAATATCCTCCCTGGCAAGCGTGTGCTTCTTCCATAATTCGATGACTGGTTTTTCTGTGCAGCCTGACAAAAACTGCATCCCTGTTGTGGAAACCTTACCCAAATACGTAACCTGCAAAGAAGAGCAGAGATAGGTAAAACACAGACAGCAGGTCCCAGTGTTCCTTCTGCCCACCCAAGAAACTTTCCTTTATCTGGAAAATGAAAGCACACACCTCTTCTTCCCCACAAACTTTTCAATTTCCCCATCATCTTTAGTAAAGCAGTTCTCAAACTACTTTCCAGATATTTGCTTTTTCAGATGCTGACTTCACTATTCAAACCCAGATGGTAAAAATGTTCCTCTGAGTTTCAAGGGATTTCACTCTGCCTTGGAAAGCCCAGCTTTTGAGCCCATGACTGTACCTCTAAGCTCACATTAGCAAGTCTAAGCACCAGTGGAGCAGCCCCCTGGTAGCTGTGATGGTAAACACTTTTTTTTTTTTTTTTTCTCCTTTGTAATTTATTAACATTTTTTAAATCATATTTCAAAAATTAGTATTAGGGAGACTGAGACATTATCAGTTTTATAATGCAAGGCAGCAGGGTGTCAGCATAATCACAGGGGAGGTTTTTAAACTGTTTGAATGTTTTTTTTCCAAAATGATCCTGTTTCTCCACCACTTTTGCTGTGTCTACTGAAGTATTAAGCCAGGAATAGCTTAAAACTGTTCAAAACTCTGTGTTTGTGCAGGGCTGAGATATTTATTACAAATATGCTGTAAAAAAAACCCATCTACTAATAAATCTACCTTAGCTTAATCACATAATCTCTGTGCTTTTTTGTCTAGCTCATCTGCACAGGAAAGCAAGGTGGGTTTAGTGCCCTTACTGTATTTTGTTCACCAAAAATCAAATTCACTGAGAGGTCCATATCAAAATTCTGTATTAAGCCTGTGCAGAAATATTCCCCTAAATCTGTGCAGCTGCTAAAGAGGTTTTCTTCCACTTACAGCTGAATGGAAGATTATTTTATTTGGGAAAAGGGATTTTCTCTAGAAAAGACAGATCAACACCACATAAACGCAGTTATGCAGATTATTCTATTTATTGCTGTTGTCAGAATGGCGCATTTGAGAACAACTATATGAAAGCAAAATTGCTTCTAATTTGATTCTTGTAGCTGTAATTGCATGAGACAGAATCTTGTGGCTCTTGCTTGATGTCTTATAACCTCATGTGCATTTTACTTAGGGCATTTTGAAAAAAAAATAATCACATGCATTTTTCAAACTGATTTCTTCAAAATTCTGAACTAAACACCAAGTATCAGCTATTTTAATTTTGTATATGCTTTCAGAAATGCAGAGAAAAAACAGGGGGTTTCCACATTTAAAGACATGTAAAAGCCATACCCACAAGGAATACAGGATTTGTATTCCATGTAAACAAAATTTTCCACAAGAAAAATATTTTGCTGCAAGCTTCATAGGTTTTGTTAAACTCTGAAGCCTAAATTAAGCCATAATTAAGAAAAAAGCTTACAAAACATTATTGGAAGTCCATGTGGCTTAATCATGCCTGCCAAAAAAGCAATTTCATAGCACTGACATTTCAAAATGGGAAGTCTTATTCTTTGCCTATAAATATTCATGCTTTGCACGGGGAATATGTTAAATCGTATAAAGCTTTATATTTTTTGGAACAGTGAGAAACACAATAGCTAGAACAGTTAACAAGGCAAGACCTACAGTGTTTTGCTTTATTTTATTTTATTAGTGATGAGAGTTGAGTTCCCTAAAGTACTGTAGAATAACTTAAAATAAAACCTCAGAGCTTATAGTGCCAACTAAACACACAAAAACAGCACATAAAAGACCAAAGAATTATGTGCTTGCAACATACTGGGGGATATTTCAACATATATCCAGAGTCATACTGCTTTGAAAAGATCAAAATCAGTGTGCAAATTTGCACATCCAGTATATTCTCCAAAGGTTTGCTCGGCGCCATTTGCTAATCGCAAGCCAGCTAATGGAAGATTAACACACCCTGTAAATTAATTGAGCATTTGGGGTTAGATTCAAAGCCCTTTGCAGTAACACAAGTCCTTCACTGACTTCAAAGAGTTTTGCACAATGCCTTTAAACAGGAACAGACAATTATCCCCTTGCTTACGTACTTTGTCACTGCCCAAATACCATTTGGAAGCCCCGGCTGCAGGAGATGCTGCCACCACTGCCACATGCTGTCCCCCCAGACGCTGTCTGGGAGAGGCCACTATCACTCAGAGGATGCAGAAATAAGTACCTCGTGTTACTGCACGACATGCAGTGCAGGGAACTATTTACAGGCTTGTCTGCAAGAGGAAGCTGTTGACAGCATGTAAGCTGCCCTGCCATAACAGCATGAGGAATGGGAGAGAAGAGGGAAGCAAAAGTAACTACACCCCACTTGAGAAGCATTAGTAAGGGTCTTCCCAGGAAATTAGTGCTGCTAAGCTCAGAGCTGCAAATTCACCCCCAGCACACAGAGCATCAGCTTCTCAGCACAGATGAGTCCCAAGTGATGCTCAGGATATGTCCAGCAAGACCAGAGCAGGTTGTTGCACGAGTGTAAATTGAATTTAACGTTCTCTCTGTTCCTTCTCCACCACTAACTGCACTCCCCTGTAGGCCATCAATCCATGCATGGCCTGCCTAAGTATGAAGTTTCAGCAAAGAATCTGTGTCCTTACAAATAAAGTATTTGCATTTTACAAAGAAAAGCAGTGAATTACTCTGAAAGCAGCCACAGCAAAAGTAACTAATAAGGATGGGATGATGGCTTGTTTACCAAAATGGGACATAATGGTCTGATTTACTGTCCCAGTTCTGCCAGAGTACAACTGCGTAGGAACTTTTGGGAAGTTGCTTCTTTTAACACCACTTTGCATCTCCATTATATAAATTTCATTTTCCTTGGAGGACACATTCATAAATATTTATAAGGTGCTTAGACATTACAACAACAACGAGTTCACAGGAGAATAAACAAACCTCTGTTTTAGTGTCTCTCCTGTACTGTGTCTTACATATAAACATCAACACCTACTAATGCTATTTTGTGTTTCTTTTTAAACAAATGATAATTTTTTCCTAGTTCAAATAAAAGCATTTCACAAGAGTAGCATTACTAAAGCTGTTAGTGAAGACTGATGTCTAGCATTTCATTACTTCATAGTCTCCTGCTAAATACAGAACAGGGATAGAGGGCCTGGCAAGACACCTTGAATATTTGACACAAAAAAAGGTAGCATCCATTTCAGAACTAAGTTTTCTGCATGACTAAATATTATCTACATGTTATCCATTACCTACTAATCCATCTGGAGCTGGTAAATGTAGTAACTTAGAGATTAACATTTGCATAATTGCAGGGATGGTACCAGTAGGAACTAAAACCAGCAAAGGATAGATTTATAGGGCGCTTCTCCCTGAGGCCTCAGTTACAAGGTTATTCCACAAGTAATGCTTCTTGCACTTTGGCTCCAACCTCATCACATCTTACAGAACTACCATCTTTATTTAAGTGCCCAGAAACCACCAGCCACACATATTGTTAGAATAAAGCTATTCTTGTATCTTCCTTTCCAATTCCCAAGTTTGCCACCCAAAGATCAAAGAGTAAATTATTCCTTCTATTATCAGATAGAGAAGAAAATAATTTTGAGGCAAAAATTCCTAGTTTTCCACTAAAATCACTAGTGTGTCATGAGTGTGAAGCAAGCAGAAGTATAAAAAAAGGTATTTCATCCTTAGAATTCATAGGAACCAGATGTGAAGGACACAGAAATACATCATCGTTATTATATGTGCATGTGCAAACACACACTGAAGACGAGCCTGAACAGAATCAACTGCATAGCCTTACTAACTGGAGAGCAAGAGAGCAATCACTGTCAAGGACTGGCAATAGCCACAGCTCAGGCTGAAAGTCACAGATGTGATAACACAGCTCTGACCATCAGACAAAGCTCACCAGGACTGAATAACACTTCTCTTTCTTCAGAAACTCTCGACAGAGTTCACTTGGCAGCAAACAGCACTCCAGAAAGATGACTTACTTCTGACAGCATGGCATATCCTATAGCAAACGTCATCCTATACACACCAAGGTCAGCAGTCACATTACTTCCCCTCTGGTCTCATCAGAAGGCAGAATAGCCACAGGTTGGTTGTAACATGTAAACTACCATCAGGCAGTCACAGCCTTTACTTGTTTCGGACACTGTATTTTAAGTGATGGAGGGAATGGAAAAGCCAGCTCAATGCCACTGTCTTAATCTTAAGCAATAAAGGCATTTCAGATTACAACTTCTTCCAGGCGCAGGAATATATTTCTTTATGGCACTTTTAGTCCTTTGGTTTGTGTGTTCCATCTTTCCCACAGATTTCTGGAAGACACAACTTGCAACAACTTCTTGTGTATGTTAAAAATTATCCACATTCTTTCCAGCCTTTCTACAGCAAACTGGCATTTTCCATCTGAACCTTTACTCCCTGGCAAGCCAGTATGACATAAAATATATTTGTGGTTTCAGCACTTCTCTGCTTGTAAACATTCAAACCTTTAGCGAAAGCCAAGAGGCTCTGAATAGCTCTTCATCTTACCTTAGAGACTTGCCAACACCAGTGTCAGTATCTGACAAAACTGTCCTCAACAGAAAAATGTTGTGCCTTTGCCCTTCCAGAACACAGCAACAGCCATCTGACATGTAGAGATGTTTCATGTCAAAGGACATGAAGATTAATTGGTGTCATCTTTCAGGCACTGTCCTGTACACTACAAAAACATCTGAGTAATTTGACATTGTTGATTTCAACACCTTCAGTCCAGTAATGTACAGTGAAACTATCTTTTAAAAACTAGGCTTAACAGCTTATTAACTTTTAAAAGACCATTATAGCTGCTGCCATAGACATTTTCACTTCTTGAACAGCACCATTTGTCAGAAGAAATAAGAGGGCTTTATTTTCCATACGCAATTCTTGTATTTATCATCGACCTCATATTCTTTACTTGCAGCTCATACAAGATACAGAATAGCTTAGCTTCTGCATGTGTCGGTCTGACTCCAGATCTGACTCCCTT